GGTTACATCAGTTCTACAGATTCAGCTATTACGTGCAGTGTAATTAAATAAGCTTCGATGCACGGTGAGGCGCTCACAGGAACGTCTGTTACTATAAGGCTTAGTTATACATTACACAAATCATATTCGATTACCCTGCACTACTTGATAAGTTTAGGCTTTTGCAAAAAGGCTAGCCAGATCGATGCACTTGGATCACGACTTTAACTTATATTTTTTGGTACATCGTTTTTCTTCAGAAATGCGGACCGTCTTCGCATGGCCGAAATAGTTCCTAATTACGAACAGTACGCACATCGCACTTCCTAGCTATATGACGTCCTCTTAAGGAACAGGCTCGATGACTTCTTGAACAAATGCAGAGATGTCGGCTTTGCTGCCCTTAGAGATGAATGCCGTTTCTAGAAGGGCGGGATATCGTGCCCGCTGTTCTCGATTCTTTTGAAGGCTGTAAGAATAATTTCAAACTTTTGTCAGCAATGCTAAGTGCTTGCTCTTTTTGTTTCGATACACCACTGAGCAAGCTTGAAACATTCGTACCAAGTTAACTGAACGCAAAAACGTTGGGCGAGAATCACACCGGGACAGTTATAATAGTTGGTTAACCGTTCGCCACGAACTTCATTGAAATAGTATTATAGATTAGGCGCGACTTATTGTCTACGACTAGTATTGTCCTTCTTTTGGCTTGCATAGTGAGCTTGAATAAAAATTTACCATGGTAATCCCAAGGCTCCACACATCCGATCGCACATCGTATGTTGCTCCAGGTTCAGCTTGTATCCGCTCGGGCTGAAAAACATATTCGTCATTTTTAATTTGTGTTAATGCATCTGCGACTTTTGCACTTTTTAGAATTGTACGATAACTTCAACTGAGCTTCCTGAAGTTATACCTGCGTCGTTGATTTATCGCACCCTTCTTCTCATAATAAAGTTATCGCAATATGTGACTATTATTACTTTAGTCAAAGGCGTCGTTTAGCGATTTTCAGTGGTCATAGATCTGAATAATTAAGTAATAATATAATTTTTTTTAGTAAGTTGTGTTCGCTAGCGATGCGCAATGCGAAATATATAAAATCCGATTTACTTGACAGCTTTAGACATCCTAATAGTTATTATAAACGATTGCGGCTTGTTTTTAACGATGTCCACTTGTGTGCTAGACACGAAAAACTAGAAAGATATTCCTATATGTTTATAAAATGGCTAACATACGTTTAATGCTGGTCCGATCACGGTTGTCTCATCTCACGATAGACCATTAAGTGGTACATCATAGCGATTTTCATTCTTTGTATATATCGAACAGATATCTTTTGTTTTACCAGAATACAGATGTTGACTGAATGACTAAGGGGTCATACTCACAGGCATATAGGGTTTGCAGCCGAGGTTACTTTTCGCTACCGAGTCGACCATCTTGCCAGAGATACCGAAGTCACAAAGTTTCACGGAGCCCTCTCTATTAACCAACACATTTGATGGCTTAACATCCCTGCGACTCACATGACAGTAAACAAAATCTATGACAAGGCATCACAACTACTCGTTGGGTTTTCAGCCACAATTCCTCACTTCACAATTTATGCAATTGCGCACAAATAATATTCGGAACAGAAACGTGTTCAGTGAATGGAAATAAAAATGTATATTGTTAACATGAAGCAAAATAAATGTTCGCGACAATACGATCAATCAAGATTTTTATACGACAGTTATATGCTGTAGCAAGTAAATAACGAATTTATGGATGTCGTACATAAAATCAAGAGTCGTTAATTTCCACTTTGACGATTGGTCACCTACGTAAATTGCTGAAGCGACAAAGCGGTATCAACGGTGTGATGAATTGGTGCTTCTGTTAAAGTCCAACTATAAAATCGAACGCCCGTGGGTAATGTAGTGCTAACGTAATCTCTCACTGACCTTGTAGTTGGCGTTTCGAACCATGAATTACATCGAAAAGCAAATGGCTTACTCATACCTGGGTGATTGGATTATTTAGAATAAACTTAGCGGATGCCAAAAAAAGACTTCTATCCTACAGCTTAGATTCACCATGGTAAAAATGCATCCACCAGCTGCATGCCTTCATGGTGTCAACAAGCAACAACTCCTACCTGTGCATGATTTTCAGGTTTCGTTTTAGGTAATCGAGAGCCGTAACAATGCTGTACGCGATCTTAGCAAGAACAGGTTCAGGAACACCGCCCTTGCATCGGAAGGCAGCAAGATAAAACTTGTCCAAAGAACTGTCCATTTTCTAAAGATTGGCAATCAACACACGAAAAATACAAGTCTCAAAAACGTACCTAGTAGAAATCATTTTAAAGTTAATAGCAAAATAGATAAGGCAATCTACGTGGTGTTTCCACAGCATCATTTAATTTAGCTAAAAAAAAAAAATTAGCTAAAAAATTTAGACAAATTTATGAGTATTTATTTTCACGTATATTTGATGACACGAACTGCATGTAATTATACGTGGCAGAACTTCTGATAACACTTGAGTACCTTACAGCGCTTAGAAATAGCTTAATGTTAGTTCAGGTCGTACGCAACCACTAATTTCTTTTATGAACAATTGTGATTTTGCTATCTGCTACTTCAAAGCGTTCTACTGAAAACTTACTTCCATACAAATCCAGATATCGCCGTCATGAAACAATGCTCCATAGAATCGTACCGTATGCAAGCAATGAGCCTTCATCGAAACGTCGAGATCCATCAGTGCCCGACGTTTTTCCATTTCGTCGAAAGTATATCTGATACGCTGTGGTATAATAATAGCATAATAAATACTTCGACTTCGATGGTAGCGAGTGAAGTTGCCGCCACAGTGAAAGACGCTTGACCAAATGCTGGAATCTATTAGTGGAACACGCTATAAACACATATACAGTTGTGTTGTCACAACTATAGAATTCGTACTAGGGCAAGTGAAACAATCGATCTACAAAATATTTACAGCTAAATAATGGATTTACCTTAACAGCCATGAAAAGCCCGGTTGATTTATGTTTCATGAGATCTACAACCCCATAAGCACCTCGACCTAGCTCGCGCACTTTGTCCAACTCATCCGCGTTAACAGTGACCTCCTTGCCGTCCTTCTGAATTCGCGCGATTGAATTCAGATTTGGTGGTGCACTGAGTAAGCGATGGAAACAGAAGGAAAAACCGAAGAAAGGATAAGAAACGTTTTGGCCAGAGCGCTTGAAAATGGCGAACACACCTAAGTTCGACCACATTTTTAGAAAAAGGCCCCCCCAGAGATAAATGAACGTATTAGGTTCAGAATATTAGTTAGACGCAAATAATACTTTTAGATTGATGGAAAACGCATTATCCGTTTAAATTTGTTTTGAAATCACGAAATTTCATACGACATGTTGCCAAGATTGAGTGGTCCCCATGGCTGTGGACTTATTAGCATTTGCACTTACCTTTGATTCCTTTGTTAACATATCCATCATATATTGCTTGCCTTTCCTTGTATTTAGCTAAAATAACACTACAACCGTAATTTTTATTCAAAGTAACTACAGAAGTTATCTAGACCCGTTTAGTTGAAATGGCGCCATAGGGCTTCTTGATAAAAGCTCGAAATGGGGCTGCATTAACCAGTTATTGAAACACGAAATGGCCGACGCCTTGGATCACGCTTCCTAAATGACGCTCACGTTGCAACTTACTGAAAAGGCTTGAGATAGATTGCAGACATAGCCTCCTATTATACGTTAAATTGCGTGTAAGGCATGCTTAGTAACTTTTCAAAACGAAACTGGTGTGATGATTAATGGGTCATTAGAAAAAGCAAATATTACTATTATTATTATGCATCCGCTAATAAAGCTAAAATGCTTTACAAGGTAATGGATAATTACACAAAGACGGTAGCGTTTCGAAGATAGTCACATGGAAGCTGTATTTGAAAATCGCGCGCCTAGATTGTGTATACAAAGCGAAATCGTTTAAAAAAGACTTTCAGTGCAGATCGCAAAAACTATTCAATGGCAATGTACAAAAGAATCGATGGTCAAATCCGCATGGTGGCGAAATGGTGGACTACAAAGCTATATACAAGAGATATACAAGAGGTGGACTAGCTTTGAAACCGGGTGTGGACCCGTTTTGTCTCGCGTAAGAGGCCAGCCGTGTAAATCAATGCCTACCGACAATAGAGGATGTAAAACTTCAGATACTTATGTAATTGACTAGGTAACGCCTACCACATTTGATAAATTTACATGGCAAAAAAAATTACAAACGGGTGCACTTTCTGACTGATAGTAATTCGATGGGCAAGCTTTCGCACGTCACCCTGCTCCTGCGGGATGAAGCGCACCAGAACCCGTCACTGAAATTACTCACATGTCATCTTCTAATGGGGGCTCCTCTGCGATTTTCAGCTTAGGCACAAAGAGTTTCTTTGCTGAAATAAAGACAGATATTTGGCTATTATTCAATAAGGCAGACATCGATTAGTAAATCTCCACCCATATGTTTAAGTGGCTACCTTCCGTATCCCCTTAAGATCAGTCTCTTGTTGTACGTCTTTTGTTACCATGTAATTGTTGTGATTGATCAAAAAGATACTTTTGCCAATGGCTCGCGTTACACTATCACGCCAATAGATATCTCCTTAGAAATAATTTTACTGAACTAAATATGTGCCATTTCGAGTGACGTTTTCCCTCCATTTTCCTGGTAGCAACATAATCTCATTGTTGTCGAATTTCGATGGTTTCTAGGCAAAAAATTGTAACAAGCGGTTTTGGCATTAAAACTAAATTAACACCATTAAGAGAAATCTGCAAGCGCTAATACAGATCAGAGCCAGATGGTGCAAAATCCGTGCTATACGGCCGATGAATCAAAATATTTCACGTGAGTTCTCTCTATTTTTAGCTAAAGCTGTACGTGATCTGGCATTATCATAGTAAAAGACGACTCCTGCTCTGTTCAGTAGTTCCGGTAGCTTGTTCTTCTATATGAGTTGTCACTTGTTGACAATCGAGATTTGAATCAATCGCTTTGCCAGCGGGACAGCACCCTATCATGTACAATTCTTTCCTAAGCCCACCAAATCTATAGCATCATTCTTTTTTTTAGCGTCAGTCTGAGCACTGCCACATATTGTGAGGCAGATTTTTTCATTTACATTTTATTGTCGCATGTGATCCACTATTTATCATCCATAATCAGCCGCTCTAGAAATGGCTCGATATCGTTGCGTTTCTGTAGAACTCCGCAGATGGAAGCACGGTCGACTAAATTATTTTACATCAAGCTATGCAGCACCCAAAACATCAAGCATTTTACTGTAGTCAGCTTTCTTCGAACAGTTTAAAATTGTTTCCTGACTATATCATAGCTAGTCATCTATTGGGTTTGATTAACTTCCACAATAATTCCAAAAACTTTTTTCCGTAATTGGTCACCATTACGAGAGGTATCGAAATTTCCAGGACGAAGGCGATGGAAACTATCTTTGGGCCGTTTCGTCTGATAACGCGGCTTATTGACTACAAACTGTACAGTTTTTATAGGCTTGGGCAGCATAATAAAACTGAAAAATGTAGCAGATTATTGCAGAAGTTTCAGTCATCTTCGGCTGTTACTTATACTCTTCAAAGCCATATAGTTACATAGAGAGGGAGTATTTTTTTGACAGCATAATATGAACGTCGACTACCTTATAATATGTACTATCTTAATATGCTGTCTGGTAATTCTACTGTTAAAAAAAGAAACAGATCTTATAATGTAACACTAGACAATAGCTCGTAAATGATTCCGTGTAACAGCTTGACGAATGTGTATGAAATGTATCAGTTTGCCTCCACTATATTGAATTCACTAGAAGTACCGTCGTTTCGCAATAGGAAGAAGCAGCATGAGCGATGACTAACTGTGGATCTCATGCCATGTTTAATTAGGTTAGAACAGAAAACAGATCGAGTAGTAGAGCAGTCTACTACCCGTTTTGGGTGGCATGTAGAGAAGAAAAAACGTCACATCACAAAAGAAAAAAGAGCTTCATATAGCTAATCAACTCTCTGCGTAGAGTCAGACAACCTGGAAAGGCGCTCATTAATACTATCGTAGGTAACATTGCCCACGAAAACATCTATGAAAGTATTTAAATTCAAGAAGAAATGATCGTGAACGCACAAAATGAAATAGACACAAGGGTTAAAGTATTTGCGGTAAGCTTTCTTGCACAACTCTACATTGCTTTTCTAACTGTTGTCAATATGTGGATGTCCACTGATGTATACCTTGTTAACCTTGGATTCATCCAATCTAATAGCTTGAATAATGAAAAGAGTAAGATAAAGGCCACCCTTATACACCCTTATACATTAACACATGTAGTTTCTGTTTCTTTTCAATGTTCCTTTTTCTTGTTTCTCTCCTCTGTGTTTATTTATTTATATACACCATTTTAAAGAGATCTTGCTTCTCTGTAAATAAATTGTAAGAGGTTTCAGGCAAGACAAAAGAATGCATTTTTGACGCCTAGTCTATTTCGCTTCTTGCGAGGTCGCCGAATCATCACGGTATATTTGTGTTGTGTACAACGAGGATTCTATATTTGACGGAATTGCTCGAAGCCGGTTTGCGGAGTTCAAAAAAGCATTTTAGGACCAGCACATACCTCGTCCTGCTTGGCCGTTTGAAGACCTTTTGAAGGAAGACGGCTGACAAACAACTCTCGAATTAGCGAAATATTGGACTGCAGTTGTACTACTATTACAGTCAAGAACTTTAAACGTATAAGGCTTGTTTAAAGAGTACGGTTCTGGGTGCCCCGTGAACTGAGTTAACATTGCAAACAAATACGGCTTATCATTGCCTCCCAACATTTCGCTCGGCAGCGAGCAACACACAGCCACAATGATAGACTTCTAGACAGAATTGTCACGCATGACAAGACCCTGGGAAATGCTTGGGAAGAACAAGACCGTCGATAGTGATCTATATATACCATGCCCGAGTTTCTATAAATAAACGAAGCTATTCAATCGAACTGATTCGATAGACAAAGCAAAAAAAGTCATCCTTATCTAAGACAGTGTCAGGCCAAGATTTTCAGGGGTAGGTTCTTTTGCAGCCAGTTATATTATCCAGGCCGCGTGTCTGCAGATTACCGCCCTTTCCGATAATTGGCATGTAAAATGGTACAGTGACGAGGGTCTTAAAACTTGAACGAATTCTTCAATACCAAACTTGGAAATTCCTGACAAACTGGAATAACTGTATTAGTTGACAGAAAATCGCGTAGAGTGATCGCGAATACATATTAAAATAATTTGGTGCTAAGATTCGGGTAGAAAACTGCGTTTATTTCAAGGTAAAGAACAAAATTATTAATATTCCAGCCTTACAGTCCACAAATATCAGCCAGGGGGGGGGGGGTAACGAAAGCTTAGTATATCGATAGTATATATGACACTCAGGGTGCGGTAGAATCCACGTGGGTTCCGGTAAATATTGCTAATAAAGATGTCTACCTAATCAAAATCAGCAGGTGTCATACTATTGGATACAATTATAAGGACGTGTGCCATCGCAATTGAAAGTCACGAGGCTGTTCGCGATTTAAAATAGAGCTTATTGTTTTAACTATAGCTTTAGTCCTTGTCGTTCCTAACTAAACTGTCCTAATTTTGTCGAATATTTCCTAATACCAAAAAATGAAATAATGAAGGACAAAAAGTAATTAACCAAAAGCTATCTAATAAGCATAAATAATAATAAATATAAATGTTCGCCTTCCTTCTATAAAGTTTCGTTAATTCTTCATTGTAACATTTTCAAGAATGAGTGCTTGGCCCTTTTTCACATGTTACTTTTGAAAACGGCAGTCGATCGATCCTTTTCGAAAAAAGGCCAGATCAAGTAACCTTAAGCTCAAGTCAAGCAAGCTTGCGACCAAGTACGAGGACACTCGAACTTTCTAAACAAGTATAGGATTTGTTTTCTTTACTCTAGGCAAGTAAACCACTGAAATGTTGTTAGACTGGGGGCAGGCAGCTGCCTGTCTCTGACCAAGCCGCCTGAAACTGCGAGATTAGAAAACAATTTTTTAAAAAAAAAACACGATTCGTAAAAAGTGAGACTCGTAAAACTTTTCTTAAAAATTGAACAAGGCGCCTAAGGCATATGGTTGAAGAACAAATAAGATACCCCCTTCATTTAGCCTTGAATAAAATATGTTAGAAAGACACCGAGGAACACGGAACAACTCATCTGTAACGAACGAAAGCAATGTATTTGTTTGTTGATTATTACTATTAAGGACAACCAACGGATTGGCGAATACAACTTTTTTGTGTTCTGTTAGCTTCTGTTCTATATCACGTGCCTACAGGGATAAACCAAAACAATCGACCGCAAAACATGAGGTGACCGACTTCAAAGTGTCGCTCTTTTCAACCCACAGACATCCGAATTATACCCTTTAACTGTTGTAGTAAAACTAGGGAGGTCGTTAAGATCGTCAATTCCGATAATTCGTATAGAGACGTTATTAAACGCGGGGGAAGCCTGTTGTTGCACATAAAAAAATGTCATAACGCACTACACATACTCGATCTACCTTCACTGAGCGAAAATTATAGCATTACATTATTTGATATTTCAGCATTTATATATCTATACTATACAATAATAATATAATAAATATATTAAGATTACCTAACTATTAGATAAAATATTTAAAGTGGTAAGATACTACTCTTCGTCGTTGGTCCTTTATTAAATAGTTCATAAGACGATCACCGAATCCATTAAAATTAGCCCTATCTAGTAAATTTATATCAGCAAGTTGGCTCAGCTTTATACCTCGTTGTATGCTGCACCGTTATCACAGGATGACTTGTAACCGCGGAACTGCTGACCAGCTAATCATCATTTTAACATTTATTGACGTTAATTAAACCATTTATGTCATAATTTGTTGAGCAAAAATAGAAAACGAACTATACTGTGCCTTGATGAGATGGTTACCAAACGTCCTAAACGTATTTTCAGAGTGATATTCACTAAGTTAAAAAAAATTCACAAGTTAGATTAATACCTGATATGCAAGCTATGCTATCTAACTTGAGTTGCCAGAATAGGAAAGTGAAATAGACCTCCGAACAACATCGAATTATCATTGAACTGTACTCGTTGCAGTTGACAACCAATACTTTCCTATACTTCATGTTGGGGCAGTCAAAAAATTAGCGAGAAAAACTTTTCTTAAGCTAGTTGATTTTTTCCTGCTGTTTTCATTTTGCTAATTTTCTCAAACCATTAAAATTATATTCGGATAAAAAAAAACATTGCGAGTGGCCCTCGGTAACGTTCCTATACAGTGGCACCATGAACTTATAGAATTACATGTACTACCCAGAAACCTACTAGCGTTTTTTTATTGCACTTAGAATATGGTTCGCATAAGAATGACGTTCAGCACGTACTGCTTTATAAATATATTCCGCACATCCATACAGCTGAGGACAAACTTAGAGCCATTCGAATCCGAAATGTCTTTAGATTTCACTACTTTTGCTTAATTATTATAGCCACCTTTCCGTGCCTGCATCCATACGAACCGCCATAGTAATTTACATATGTCCCGCACTCCCATGTTCAATGATTAATAGAGCGTCTATTATCTGGGCTTGTTCGATTGCAATCGATATCCTAATGCAGTATTACTGCTATACGTACGACAAGACATGAAGAGTTACTGCTGGGATATCGTGGGAGGTCGAAGATCGTACGTCGAATTGACCAGCATGGACAAGCCACCTAGATTTTTACGTATGTAATATAGAATCCGGGCACACCGCCCGAGAGATTCAACATTATTATCATCTGTGATAAACGGGAGTGTGTCAATGAAATTCGTCCAGGGCCCTTTGTTTCGGCGAACATCGATTTCGGGATCATGTAATAGCTTTAGATTCAGCCAATTCTTTTAAGTTAAAATAGATCCTGATTCAATGTCGTTGACAAAAAATCGTGAGATTGATTACCCAAATATATCGGTTAGATTATTAAATGACAGACTAAAAGGTGCGTCACGGCCTGTTCAACCGTATGTGATCAACATTTAAGTTATTCTTGAAGGAGTCCTTTATCAAGGACACATTGCAGTTAACCCCTCAAGCCAGACATTTAACATCTGTGGAGACTATTAAGCGATCTTACCTCTTTTATTCATGGCAACTTCGGCTGTGGTTTATGAAGTGTTAGGAAAAATTGTCAGTATTTTCGTAGAGCCATCCACTATTAGTCGCTTTCGTTTACACCCTCGATATGAACGCGTTTGTTACATGCAAGACATGCTGGATCACCGACATGCATTGGAAAAAATCTTCGAATTTCGTAAGAACACAGGGCGGAGTTTATTAAATGATCTCCAATATTTGACGTTAATAAATCACAGAAGACAATTTATTTTATATTAACTGGCTCACACGCACTCCTTACAGGAACGGACCAGAACGAGTACAGGTGACCGCTGGAGACCAGCTCCTGTCTGGTACTCTTAAAGCTGCTCAGCGCTGGCAAAGCAGAAACTACTTAATCCAAAACAACAACAGACATTTTCAAATTTTCGGCGCCAATAATATAAATCTTGTTATGATGGTGTAGTGCTGACGTACTCGGCTACTTAACTTTGAGAAACGTATCATTATATATATATATATATATATATATATAGCCTGCAATATTCAATAAAAATGTATCTTCGTATACATGTATGTTTTTAACACACTGATAAATCTTATTGCAGATTTTTATGTCTCTATTTTATTTAGGACGGGATCCTAGTTAGCAGTGTACTTCTTTTAAATTGTATATATTCAATTCTAGAATATATTCAATGGGTGTAACATCAAAATACACGCATCTCGACCTTCTTGCCAAGCTTTCTCATCACCAGGGCGAAACAACACAGCCAAATCGTAGTTCCATTCGCTTTCGATAATGGCTAAGATGCTAACGGGGCCTGTACTATCCGTGAAAAATATGTTTCCCGGATATCTTTTTCAGTGAAAAGTCTGTGTGCATACGGCATAAACAAGAATTAACAAAAATGTTGAGAATAATGCCGAAGAGGCTAATATAAAGCCTGCGTACCATATCTCGTTAGTCCCTCCAATGTCTGGGAGGGTGATTTCCGTAAATCGCCGGCACTGCCGCGACGTGCCTGCCTGCTGAACATAAGATTGAGATGTTTCTTTGTGCTGAACATGGCCAGTCCTTTTGTACATACTAATGTAGATCCGGACGTAAAACTGGAAACATTAATTTCGTTCTCGTACGACCAGCCTTTTCAATGCGCTGCTTGTACCTGAAATAATTGTATACGCACACTACAAGATATTTGTACTACATCACCAGTTTTGTACGGTTGCACAGGACTTGTTGCGGTTGTGGGTGTGGCACAGTTCACCTCTGCTGCTAGAAAACTAGACATCAAGCTTATTTTAAGAACATGCTTTCCGTTAGATATAATATCTATAGTCCAAAGTCTCTACCACACACAGTGACCCTGGGTGCACATTTCATGAGGTGGTCGTTATTGGCTATACTGAACGCTTTGGTTAAAACCATAGAAGACTGCTACGCGACTTCAATTATCTTCATTCGAATTAGTGATATACTCACTCTAGATTTACAACATTTGCTCCTTTTAAGCTCAAACTGCAATTTATCTTAATGCTCTGTGTTTTCAGGATATGAGATCAATTATTCGCTAGTTATTCTTACTCTCACTTTGGGTATAGCTGATAGAAGGGAGACAGGAGTAAAGCTAGTTATTTGAGAGTGTGAACTCGACTTATGTCCAATATATAGGGGGTGACGCTTTTAAGAGGTTGGGGATTTCGATCCAGTGATGATCTTTGAAAGCAGAGAAAGTGCAACACTCCCAAAAATATCACCGTTTTGCCTGATCCATTTTTTGTGAAGCTTAATGGAAATCCTAGGTATTATATTACTCAAACGTTTTTCTGGTACTTAAACCTTATAAACTGTACAAGTAGGGAATATAACATATCATTCGTTGAATTAGCATGTTTAATCATCTCCTGAATGGGTCTCCTTTACATGGTTGCATAGCGCCTATTTATTTTACCCAACAATTTACTATTAAAATTTGGTCCGAATAAGCCGCCGTAAACTGATCCTCTGAAAAAAGATTTCACAGTTCTCCATGCCTGAGTCGGATAGGAAATTTAATTAATAAACGATCTGGGATAGATTTTAGCGTAAGCTCTTTTCTAACAATAGGGTCTAATACTTTGCTGAAACTTTCTAGCTTGGGTTTTAATTTAAGCAATCTCAATCTTCCTTTATAGAGTTGGAAATTCGTAAATTCATCCCTAGCCTTCGTCGGCGTATCGCTGGTTTTCGTCTCCTCCTTATGACGATTTTACGTGGACATTCTAGTAGGTTAGCAACTATTTCATATCTAATCAACATTTTCCTTACCAGCGTATAACAATTTTTGCCTTGTGTGAAGCGAAGATTCATAATTTTTAAACCATATTTATTTACGCCAGCACAAGCGATGCCCATACTTACGTACTGTCCGCAGAAGGTAAGGTAACGCATCCGCTTATCTCGATAACCTTAGCACGACTGCTACTATTTCAACACACCTACTACACACCTGAAGTTAGACCATTCGACTAATTCTCAGGCAGTCAGGTGACTGCATATAGATATACTAAAATCCTTGAGAATTGTGTGTATTCTACAGTTTATTCAATGCCGCCTACTCACTTGACACTGAAAAACAACACAATTTCTTTTTTATTTTATTTAATAATGTATATATATTTTTTGTATATTTGTCATTGTTGTAATTTCAGATATTTGGTCCACGGGCGCGCCATAGCGCACAGATCTACAACGGGCAGTCTGCAGGACCGTCGGCCACGTATTTTCGGTCTCGTTTTTCCTACACATTATATTTTTTTCTATTAGTGTTTTCCATCCGATGGTGGGACCACGTCAAACAACGGATAGGACCTCGCCCCCCGGGGTGGACAACGGACCGGCGGTCTGCAGAGGTTAGTGTTATCATCAACATGATCGTGTCTGAAGGTTGATGAATCGAGTCCTGGTGATCATTTTTTTCTCCTATCTCAATTCGTACATTTCATCGTCATCGTTATTATCGTTTCATTGAATCTTTCTTTTCATCCAGGCCCTTCTGTCGTCTTTCTGTATCTCCCGTCATGTCTTTCTTTGTTTATCCATATATCTCTTGTTAACTTTCGCGTTACCTGTTATCATCATCATTATCTTTTGCCGTACCATATCGAAATATGCCAGCCAATAGTTAAAGTTGTTACTATTTTACGTCCGTTCTTCCTAGCTGGCCGTCAATTTATTTCGCATTCGGTTGTCCTGTTTTATTGTCTTCCTGCCTTGCCTTGTGCTTTCTCTCTATTTCAACCAGCAGCTTATTCTTCGCGGTATCTCCTCATTGTTGTTATAGTTATTAATATCATCGTTTTCTTTGTCTCATTATTATCCACCATAGTTATTATCTCATTATCAATAATAATTATAATCATTTCATTATCATCATTGCTATTATTACTATCAACCTTCGTGGTCATCACTTATCACACTACCAGCTACACACAGCTGCGCTCCATACGCGTATCTCAGCTCGGCGCTGTGCAACGAACGGAGGAAAATGGGTTTACAGAACCGAGATAGCGCTGGGCGTTGGGTCCATTATGATTAATGATTATCGTCATCAGCATTCACTTCATCTTGTATCTATTAATTATATTAGAATAAGACGCGAATGACGCTCAAAGACGGTTGTCATTGTCACAGTTATCGTAACTATTACTACTGTTATTATTATTGTTACTAATTAATGCTTGTTATTATTTGCTCTCATTCCTCTCTCAGGAATAATCTCTCATTATCCTCCATCTTATCAATGCGATCCATATAATTAGTATAACCCATTTTATCGATATCACTGTTAGTTATTGTTATCGGTTAAACAGCTTGCAAGAACGACTATTAAATTATTACCATAAGTGGTATTTGTTTATTATTATTAATTGTTTTTTGTTATCGTCGTGTGCCACCACTTCCTCGTATCGTTTCGTATTATTATGATTATTGTTTGACCATATAGCGACATGATTACTATCTATCACCGTTCCAGCAGATACACAGTGATCGTCTGGTGTGATGGGTCCGCTGCCGAACGTCAGCTGTCAGCAGGCTAGTCGATGGGATTAGTAGCATTGGAAAAAAATCCGACAAGATTGCGTGTGTACCGATTACAACTCACCCCCGGAGAAGACCCTCGATTGCGTATGCGCTATCCGGTTGGAAGAACAGGCCTCTCGCGCGAAAAACGGGTTTCGCTCAGCGGGCGTTTGCCCTATTGAGACCACGATTGCCACTCACGTTGATGACCATTCCGCTATTTGTGAGATCGAAGACGCAGCGGTCCGATGTAACCCCTCGTAGCATTGCATAGTGCTCTACAAGACACTAGAACGTGTCACGAGATTATTCCCACTGTTTTTAGGTGGGTGACAACTGTCTGTAAGGCATGCTCACAAGGCCGCCGTTGTTTTTGCCTGGCCGCAACGATGTTCCTTGCACTATTTTATCCGATTAGCGTTAGCTAATACCGCTAACGTTGATGTATATCTTGCATGCAATAGCAAACAAGGCTCAAAACGACATCTAGCGGTCGAATTAAGTACACCGCTATAATATTCTATGATATAATTAACGTTATTGTGGAATATTTTGCGTTTGAACTTATTTTTGACGCCCATTACCTGTCCACGTTCCCCTTTATGTCGCTTAGATGATCCTCTGAAGTCCTGTCAAATCGTGGCCTCGCTTTGTGAATAAATGAAAATTTTTTTAGGTCAGAGTTAAAACAGCGACCTGGTATACGCAATGGGTCATTTGTTCTAGATACAACGTTTATTTCAACTGTGTCAGTGGTTTACAGGACCTGTTTTACAGGAAAGCACTTTTCGCAGTTCGGGACTCAGTAAAACGGATTGTTTGTGTTCAATTCATTTGAATGCCGGGACAGTCGTCACGCACTCATACACACACACACACACACACACACACACACACACACACACACACACACACAAACACACACGCGCGAAATCTTTCCGTTGCTACACTAATTACCCATTTATCATTCAGTCACTCGACAAATCACGCCATCGAAACATTTGGTTGGAACTCGTGGCTCCGTTCGCTCGAAATAGCGGCCTGTCACCTCTTGACCAAAGCGTTTCGAGAGCCAATAATTATTACCTACGCTTAATGCATAACGCCCACAATTTGACAAACAAACTCTAGCCACTTAACAGGCCAGCGACTAGATACGAATAGAAGAAATGTAGTACCATCCACCCGCACCAATTGTTGTTAGGAATGACCCAAAAATGCTCGCTGACCAATTGCGATTTGTTTTCGATACGACGAGCCCGAGACCCCAAGTCAAACGGTAACCCTGATTCCACCCACGTCCAGGACCGCTCGTCGAACATACACAGTCGTCTGGATTACAGCCACTCAGACATCCAGTCATACGTTTCGATATTTCTTCCATGAGTTTTCCACCTCATGTACTTCAGTTAGACTAACGACCGTACGGGCAGTCGACCATCATACATATCCAATTCCGATGACGACTACTATAAATAAGGGGAGCTATAATAACATTTCGGGTACGTCACTTCGTAGTTGCATTGAATCGTTGATGAGCGACCATTTTTGTTTTTTTTTTGTTTAGAATGTCTCTGAATGATAGGGTTACACGATCACCACTGTTCATAATGGGAAGTTCGCCTTCCGCTATCGCTATTCGCTCCTCTGGGCCTACTAACATTTAATTTTCACTAGAGACGGACTCTGCGTTATAGCCACTAGCCACAAGGCCGCCGAAGGGGAATCGTTGGTCGAATTCGGTTTGTGTGTTCCACCCGAGAACACGTACCCATCGCGTGTAGAGCTTCTCTCCAGAGTGACTACGGGCGTTTCTTATTCGGCATAAATGAATAGACGAGTTGCGTGACTTGTACAATTTCAGGACGAACACATGTCTGCAGGCGATGACGCGCTTCAAGACTTCATAGAACAGCGCACTCACTGCTTTTCTCGAGTTTTTTGAGAGAGACTGCTGACCGCTTTTTCCAGCCAAACACACGCTCACATATATTTTTGGCTGGCTTTGTTTTCCGCCTAAACTACTTTTCTCTTGAAGGTTTTTTCATTTCGTACGGTAGCGTCACATCAGCATCTTGTTCCTCTATCGTACAGACAGCGACATTGATTATCAAAGGTAAATATATGTGTATTCTTCTATGATGATGATATGCTTATTGTTGTTGCTGTTTGTATTTATCTGACGGGCCATGATATAGAGATTGATACATAGAATACTATTACATAAATAGCGTATATAAGCATTTATATATATATATAATGTGTATAGTCTTATAATATGATCATTTTTTTACTCACATAGCAATATCAATACTTATATAATTCGTCATAGTATTAACAATAATTTTATTTTAAAAGGAGATCCCCCAAAGCGGATCTCGTGGTCAGTTTACGACGACTCCACCTCTCCTCTCCATTTCCACCCTTCGCTCATATAGATTAAATCAGCATTCGTACCAGTGTCCTCGAATAGGCCATCATTGTTTTTCCCGTTAGCCTGACTGGTGTGTCAGGTGAAGCGACGCTAGGCTGACTAAATTGCCGCGTTCAAGTGGAACTGACAAAGTGAGAATAGGACCTTTGTTGTCCGTGAAAAACATATTGTGTTTTACGTTACGCTTGAAGCCATTTGATCGTCATCATCAATAGTCGACGTTAGTGTTTTGTCTTGGTATCGTTATTATTATTATCTAATACTAGTAGCGGTATGTTCTGTTATCCAGAGTAATTATTTGCGTATTTTTCCATTTTGCTATATCACAGAGTGGGCAATTCTTAGCGGTAGCCACTGCGGATAGCGCAGAACAGCTGCAGATCTATTTTAGAGTGCGATACGAAAATAATTAAGAAAATACAGGTCAGAATTATTAAGCGTCGCCAAATCAATCGACCGAACGTCGATCAGGAATGATAAAACGTTCACAAAACGTTTTCAGTTACGTCGCTCGTCCTCCTAGCCGAACCGATTTCGTACCTAGCCAGTAGCTTGATTGATTGATGCTCATATCGGATGCGCGAGCGTTAATAATATCACATTATCTGTTCCGTTTAACTGTTACCGATTAGTGATTCACTAGGATTAGAGAATACTGCGTTGAACATTGATTCGCAGGTCTATTGAGCCCAGACCTATCCTTTAGGCCGGCTTTACGATCTAGAGTTCGCAACTGTCGCAGTGCCATTGCCACCAGTCGCCATCGCAACTCCCATTTTATTGTGTGGTGAGTAAGCCTCATTATTCTATTGGGTCCACGGCCCACGCGTGGACCTATCCGCTTCTCCGCTCATGTTGGGCCGGGACGCCATTCACTGGTCCAGCTTCTCTCCGTCGCTATTATCCATCAACCAAGCCCCCCGAAAAGCGTCGGTCGATTGAAAATTTCGCGCCACACATCGCATCGTCCTTCCATTTTAATATCATAATTAATTATTATTAGTGATATGTACAGGTTTCTTTAGGGTTGTTTCCGACGCACACGTGGAAAACCGCCAATTCTATTATTTGGTCCTCAAGAACTCTCGCAATAGTCAATATATCGTGTGGTAGTATTAGTTAATAATAGTAATGGTAACAAATCATTGAATCATACTCAATCACCATTGTCAGTACCCCACTATGTATATATTATCGGTCTGTTGATATGTCTTTTTTTCCTAGAGAACGCTATCGAAACGGGCGAAACGTGGGCAATTTGTGGACCGCAGAGGTGGGCTGCTTTATTAACGCGGCTAAGCACTAGCCAGACCGAACAACCTGCTACGCGTAACAGCTTGTAAGGAACTACAGGCCAGTCAGCGCAGGCTTCCTATTCTCGATAACAAACTGACGTGGACTATATGGCAGCTTACAGACCAGGAAAATATCCCCCAGGAACAATAATTTCAAACGTATAAACACGAAACTGGGGGCGCCTCGTTCGTGGGGTTCTTACGCACACCAAATAGTTTTCTTAGATTGTTTTTGTCGCCACAAAATGTCTCGCCTACGAAACTGTTTCGATTACGTTTACTCCGAAGATGCTCGCGCGCGTTGGGGTTGTCAGTTTGGTCCCCGCGTTTCGGGACATAAAGTCACCAGCTCTACCGCTTGCTTTTGCTTCGTCTACCTTTTTGTATAGATTGATTCACATTACGTTATTATAGCGTATTATTACACAATAATCTGTGTAGGAGTTACTGATAGCTCCCCATGAACTTCGTCAACTCATGCGCATATCATGGTTGTCACGGTCATCAAATGGTTAAATTATTGCCAACAGCTGGCGTCATAGCATCACTAACGTAGAAAGAGCGTTTCCGCACGTCGTGATTACGTGCCACACTCCTTCGCGCCGTCAACGCTGACCGTCGAGCGGGAGCTTCTCATCGTCGGCCGGCTAGCATAGCAGTCATAGAGTAATTGTAATTGCAACAAAGATTATACTAGATATGTATATGTCAAAATAAACACCTTTCTGCCATGATAAATAGTAAATAATGTGTCCGTCCAATAGGATTGCTCGGGCCTGACCTGAGACGCATCGCCAGAGGCACTCAACAACGTAAAGATTCGGGGGTGATTCTTTCGTTCGTGGCCCGTTCTCGCAAATCATCTGCTGACGGGCGAATTTAACGTTCTTGCTTTTCACAATGTATTTTCAGTTACAATACAGCTCTAATGACGAATCAGACCAGTTTGACTTATCATTTGTCTTTGCTGTTGGGGGGCCGGGGGAGGGGGCTGCTGCACTCCGGCTTTTGCCGACGTTGTGGCTTCCACCTATGCTGTTTTCCATAATAGTAATAATTACACTAGGTAAAACTTTTTTTCGTTAACGACTGTTATTATACGCCATATGAAACCTATCATCGATGCATATCTAATGCTTTGTTAGTATTAATCTGGCTGTACGTTGGCGCTCGACTGACGGGCTGAGGGGCCGAGCGACCAATTGCCGTAAACCGTTGACGCGACACGCTGACAGGGGGAATCATGTCCGACGACATCAGAAATCGCGTTGAAATATTTGCCGTAATAATCCTCAGTAAACGTCCCGCTTCGACGCGGAAAATGCGACGTTCCGTCGAGCGATCGCGCATCCGCACACGGTGAAGTGGCGCTTCTTTGCGTTGCTCGGCTTAAGTACACGTATAGCTGTGGCGGGTTACGATGTGAAGTTGCTCCTCAGATCATTCACGTAGATCCGTTTGTATAAATCGGGCTCAGGTTGTTTGTCCTTCATTTTGTTACCGTTTCCTGTCGGTTTTTGCAGACGGTTTTTTTGTCTACGTCCCTCAGCATCGCCGATGCGTTCAATCGATTACGCGATCAATCCAATCGTTTCCGCAATATCTTTTTCATTGTTGTCTACATATAGGGGCTAGCGCATGCCTGAATTCATCTATAATATTATAGCTTCCTTTTTTATTTATGGTGAATAATCGGCTTCGGGGTCATCACGAGATCGAGCCTGCTTCTAGCCCGACCAACAATTATTGTCACTGTTCAACCGTCACTATCTTATCGTGATAATCATCAGTAATATAGTAATAGTAGTGGTAATAATAATCGGAATACGAATATTGACCTACAACTTCTCGAAATGCTAATCCAAGAATGCTAAAAAATGGGTGCCACCTTTCGAGCCTCCTACAAACATCGTTTCTATCGATGACAACCACTTAGAGCTAACCATCTCTTGGACGAAGATTGCTCTTCAGCGCACCTATTTCGAAGATCGGAAAGAGCAATAGAATTGCATCTATTATTACTATTATCATTATTATTGTTCAAGGTCATGATCCATCTGCGGACATCTGCACAAGCTCACTCACGGGGACAGCTGCCATTCATATTGCTCCCTCATCTCTTCACCATTTCGGCTCTTTAACCTAACCAGCTGCTGGGGCGACAATCAATTGGCTCAACTCACGGTTGTATCATGCCTTCCTTACCGGTGACAGTTCCCCGCTGCTGTTTCGAACTCGTCTCTTCTTGCGCATACATCTTTCCGTTAGGTCATGTTCCTATTAGCGTTGCCGGCAACGTACTTGATTTGTAGCATCAGTACTATTAGGATACGAATATCGTTGATGAATCGGATGAGCTTATCGATTAGCTGGTCTGTAGGCACAGGAATCGCTTGGATAGAACCCCCCTCCGTCACTCTTTGAGGCGTTGGATCTATACCATACTATGATTATTATTATTATTATACTGAACATATATTCTGCTATTATCAGCAGAAAATTAATTATTACGTTGTTTTTCAAGTTGCTGAATTTTCCATCCCTTTCATTTCCTTTATCTTTTCGTTTATCGTTCTGTCTCCCCCTGTTCTTCATCGCCGTTGAATGGGGATAGCTAGAATTTCGATTAGACTATATTCCTCTCTGTTTGTCCGCATTTTTCCTCGCTTCCATCTTCGAGATTCTAGGGTCTTGGGGATGCGCGCAAGAAGAGCTGGAGTCGACTTTTATTGATCTTGTTATCTTCTCGCGTCCTGGATGTTCATCTTCATGCTTTCGTGCTTGGTTGTTGCTTCTGGGGGAATTTACCTAACGAATCTGTTGGGCGTATCGTCCTGCTGCACCCCGGACAGCGAAGTTAAGTTGGGTGAGAGCGATGTAACTCCAGGATTGGTTCCAGCGGCCGCCTGGGCTTGTAAACACGCGAACCGTACCAGCTGGGCCTGATAGTTCTCCATTGCCGCAGCAGCTATTAATGCTGCCTGTTGTTGGCTAGAGGCTAAAGTCGTACCACGCGGTAAAAAGGAAAAGGTAAGGAAAGAGCACAAACACAACAGACGATAACAAAAAGAGTGTTAGTTGTTTCCCATATTCTTGCTAGAGCTGTCTTTCGCAATCATTAACCATGATTAAGAATAGAATAGATGTTTACAGTTACTAATTATTAGATTTATTCACAGTTACCACTGGTCGAATGGAAATTGCCTTCAGCAGATACGGGGTTGTGCGCCAATCGCAGTTGGAGGAAAGATAGTTAGTACGCTTAAACAGGAAGATTTGTAACATGTCACGGCTAGTAGTCGCAGTGCGTGACCATATGATTAGTGGCTGTTATTACCCCTACATAGAGATAGTTCAATGTGTGTCTGAACGAGCAATTGCAACCTAAAGCTAGAGACCCACAACGTCCAGGATGGCCACATTCAAAACCTAACAGAACGGAGTTAACTGAACGTTACTAGCAAAGACGTGACCCTCTTGATCCTTGACTTTCGTTATTTTTGTTGCTGCTGTTGTTATAGTTGTTGTTGTTGTTGTTGTTGTTGTTGTTGTTGTTGCTACTGTTGTTTTCAGTGTAACACCCATTTGGTTTGTTCAGAGAAAGGAGACAAATTCAGTTACAAACAACAAAATTGGCCCCACCTAACCATGTCGTTCAGCTACATGCTAATTACGGTGCAATGGCCGTAATGTGATTTGATGTTAGTTCAATGGTGACAGTGATCGGCACGGCAGAGGCCACGTTGCCAGTGGGACAGCCAGTCACCCCTGAATACGTTATATTAATAATAATAACATCAATACAATAATACTGTTTTCGACAGTCCCATTGGTTAGCCGGCGGCCGAGTCCGCCATCGGTTTTTCTGTCCCTTCGTTCGTCCACCATTTGCATTCCGTCCCGTAAGCTCCCGCGACACCACACGCAGGTTTAGCCTTGCCAGGGCGTTAGTGGCCGGCGAGTCTACCAGGAGACGGACAGTCGCCGCAGTAGAAGCCAGCGGAGGTGGTTCTCGTCAGTGGGTCACCCAGTCATTAACTGAGTGAATGGGTCAGTCAGTTAGTCTGCCGTCACCCCCCGGTCAGTCGGAACGCCCCGCTCGCGGCAACAGAAGTTGAACGCAGTTCAGCGCATTGGTGGCTGACGTGCTTCACAGAGAAGAAGGGGGAATCTGCTCACCAGAGTTGATCTTGTTCGAGTCAGGCTGGGCGGGCCAGAAGTTGTTGCTGGGGTTGGCGGAGATCGAGCTGAGGTTGTTGGCCGTGCTAGTGGCCGGAGCCTGCGAAACAGAAGCAGTCGGCTGAGTATTCGCCTGCGCCGTGCTTGCCGGATAGTAGAAATGGTGCGGCTGAAACGAACACATAGGCGGGCGCTTAACGTGCAGAAGTTGCAATGTGAAGAGCAAGCGGCTGAATGCAAGGGCGCCTGAGCACTGTGCTTGCCCCACTAGCGATGCTCGCTGCTTGCGCGCAGCGACAATCAGCGGCTAACGCTACTGCTGAAGATAACAACACAATTTGCAACAATGCACCCTAGACCTCACAGAAAAGAAAGACGGAACGGAAAGGAAAGGAGGATACACTGACAGAAATAAAATTCACGTGAGAAGCAAATAGAACAGGGGAGAAGTAGAGAAAGAACTCGGCTGCAGAGCTAAAACGGTAAGCGGTGAGAAAAATGTTGAGTGAAAAATTAACAAACCAGGATAAGGTTAGAATGATGAAAAAAGAACAAACAGAAACAATACATACAAATTAACAAAACATATCAGAGAAAAAAAAACTGCTCGTTGACCGACTATCCGATCAAACGGGGTCGGATAACTATGTAGGGGAAAAGCGCTGGCCGTAGGGCAAGAACGATTATTACACGCCCGTAGAGATCTGTCTACGGTAATGCTGGCAGTAGCACAATGGACGCTCACGGTGCAACATGGTACATATAAAATATAGCGACGATCAGCTTTGTGCTATGTTGACATTGGCTTTTAGCGTGCCTTGGCTTTCTAACGCGTTGCATTTGCGGCCATCAATGAAGTAAGAACAACAGGCGCACACAGAAACGAGGTGAAAGAACGTCAACGAGCGAGATTAAGCGTGAGCTTAGGGATTGTGTGTTTTCTGATGAGGGAGCTAGAGGAAAATCCAGAAATTAGACTTAGCTCAGCAAATGAAAAGCTTGAAAATCCATTTAACTATAAGCTGGATCATAAGAAATACTGTGATGTTTGAAGTATTATGCATAGGTGCATAAGTAACGAAGAAGGTCGTGCTACTGGCCAATCGTTCTGCTACAGGTACTGAGGTTAATTACTACGGAACGGAAAGCGGATGAATGGAAAACCGCCGTTTCGTATTGCGGTGCTTAATGACTGCTAATTCTATATCTATTAAAGTACAACGAAATTGGCGCAAAGCATTGGATACGCGAAGACAGCTAGGCCATTTAGAAAATCATCGTGTTCACCTACGTTAGCTACAATGGTAGCTATTGGTACCAATACGATTACAAAATGTAGTGCTACTCTCGCCATTGCTGCATTGAGGTAATCGTTCGATGGAGCTGATTGCGTTGCGATGCGTGATGTTGCTAAGCGTAGCGTAGCTTATTTGTCGTATAACTACCCGGGTACTTACCGGCAACTGTGGGTGGAGCGCGGGATGCATGAGGGCAGCCGAGTGCAGGCCAGAGGTTATGGGCACCTCAGCATACGACAGCGGATGTGGCCACTCCGAGGGTAACAGCGCGGCCCCGATCTCTGAAAGGCGCACGAGGACAAGCGAGGTTAGGAGTGGGGCGAACCTGCCGAACCCATTAAGAGCCAAAGAGAATTAGGTAGAAAGGTAGAGAGAGCCAGCTAGCCCGGGTACCTGCAGCTAACCCGAGAGCGCCACCAGTGCAGGATTGATTGATTGATTGATTGAATTGAGTCATATTTCCAATCAGTGAGGATGCTCCGCCATCGGCCACTGCAGCCAACCCAAAAAATTATCAGCCCAAATAATCGGGAGGAAACAATACGAACAATAACTCGACGCATATGTCGATGTCAAATTGGGATGGATACAGGGGCCGATAGCAAGCGGTTTGTATGGATGGAATGGATGGATCAAAAGCGATTCTGCATTATGTGCGCCGTGGGTTGATGTGCTGGCTGCCTGCCTGCCGAGTCGTGTCCAACGTCGCTAACCACGAATCCCTTTGTCCCTCAATGATGTCTAGTTGCCCTTCCCCCCAGGACAAGCACTCGTTGTTTTTGTTGTGATTTTTTTGTTTGCAGATCAACTGCAACCTTCCGAACAGCCAATACGCTGCTGCTTAGCGATGTTTGCTACTGGAAATGTTGCCTTAAGTTTGAATCAGGTAAATGTGGCTCGAATCGAAAACTGGGCTTGAAACGACCATCGCACCCATGACAAAAAATTAGATAACTGTTGTCATGAGCTATAGAATAACATAATCATTGAAGTTTGTTGGAAATTTTTTTTTGCTGGAAAATCGTTCAACTGGTTTATGAGCTATATCCAAAAATTCTGTTCGCTCTCTGGAAATACTCTCTGTCATCTCAAGTGACGACATCTTTAGGACCTTACTGTACTAAGCTTTGCATCGATTCTGAAGTAGTATTTGTTAGCCTCTGCAATCGCTGCGCCAATGATTTCATTTTATAAGATACGAATTAGTGCCTTTGGCAGTGATGGAGACAGCGGTTTATGTTAAGCCAGGGCAAACGGTCCGGATTTCACAGAACAGAATCATTGTCGGCTCAGAGTCGCAGCTGACCGAAATGGTCCGCCGTACAATCATCAGTCAGTTGCGGGGGCGCCTGGGCCGTCGTGTGCCACATTTGTCAGTGTCGTCGTTAGTAAATGACGCCTTCTGACGCTCCTCCAAAAGAAGGAATTGACTAGTCTACGGACAAGGGCAGACGAGCTGTGCGCCGAGAAACATGTGGAGCCGTGGTTTGTCGGTGGCAATACGTCCGTGACGTCTGTCTTCATTTCTGCTTATAGGCTGAGACCCGTACTCATCGCTCATTCATAACTCGAAATACAGCAGCTACCCGCCATTCCAGTGACACTACGGTACCGAAAAACTGGCCCCCGCCTGCTTTGTCATGAGGAGTCGCGCATTTGTTCCTTGCAAAGCATCTAACGGCAGTGAAGACTAGGTAGGTTCGAGTTCTTCTTCCCTAGGCTTTTATCTGGAATGGCCGATGCTGTCGTTGAGTTAATTGAGAAACACAACAACAAGTGTCTGTAATGGGAGAAGGTCCAGTGTCGGGCGAGGCGTGCAGAACGGGAATCGTGTTAAGACGTGTTGCGTGCGAAAATAGGTAATTAGGCAGTGGTAAAGGTCGCAGTTGGGAGAATTCTTAGCGATCTCGATCTAGATTGAACCGAAATCTTGGGGGCAAGACACATGGTGACTGACAAGACTGGGTGCAGCAGTGTTGATATGTGCATGTGGAAAAATAGTTTCCTGTCCCACCCCACAACGTGTGAGGTGGGGGGTGGGGAGAGGAGGAGTTATTTGAAATTAGGTGCTGATATCGGAAATGGATAATGATGGAGATGAGTTTCGAGAACGAAAGTGCATTTATCGACTGTATATGGGTTGACAAAGGAGGTGTTGTTGTGAGCGCGTGGTGGTCGGGAAATCGTACCAGTGCCGATGGAAAAATGGTACTCATGAAGTGACAAATGAGTGCCGTATCGCTGACGGTCTTTACTTGAAAAATGTCTTAGCTAGGAGGTGCTAGGATGATTAGGCTGGCCCTGGCTATTGCGTTCGTTCTATTCCAACACATAACCCGGGCCGAGCCGGCTTGAGGGTGACAGTGATCTGTAAGTGTATCTGCCATTCAGCGCATGGTGCTATATGGTACACTGACAATGGAATATACTGGCAACGTCCACTAAGTATTAGCATGTTGCATTGAGCAAAGGAGACGCGAGACAAGTCAAGTAGGCAGCTATGTCAGATCAGGTCATCGTGGGGGATTAATCATATCAACGTCCCCCAGATGCAATAACAGTCTGGTGGACGGCTCACGCTGGCATTGTTATTCTATGACATTCGATAGAGAGAGAAAGAGATAGGAAGAGAGAGAGAGAGAGAGAGAGATAAATAGATAGATAGATAGATAGATAGATAGATAGATAGATAGATAAATAGATAGATAGATAGGTAGGTAGGTAGGTAGGTAGGTAGG